CTTCCCAATGGAGCGATTGAGGTGGGCTAAAAATATTTAAGGGGCTACACTATTGATCTTGTGCGCACATATTTTATAATATTTAGGAAGTGGACCAGCTTTAACAGTAAGCATTGTTCGTTGGTTGGAAGATCTACAGGGGAGACTAAGGCACTTATTGAGGTAGCTGTAGCCCCGGTATAGACAGACAATTTTTTTGTAAAAAAAGTAAAACAAACAAGCAAACTGATATTCACGATAAAAAAAACACGTTGACCCGTAGTTGTACATCATAAGAACAGAAGAAATATCTGCCCACAGAAAAGCCACAAAAGTAGTTACTTTAAAATGAGTAGACGGGCAAACTTATTACACTTGCTGAAATTCTTAGTAGATTTTTTAAATAAATGTTTTATTAATATACATTAATGAAAAAACATTATTTTTTACTAGTAATTACATTCAATGTTTCATTTTTAAGTATTAAGCATTATTTGTAAAGATATCAGTCACGTGCATAATTTAGAATGACAAGATTACTAAAATTTTGGGCGACATCTATAATGTTATGTATATAGTAAATTCAGTGTGTTTGGGAAGAAGCTATACATATATTTTATATATATGTTTATTTTTAATAAAATATTTGACGTTTATTATATTTAAACGTATCATTTGGCAGAGTAAATGATTTAATAGACTGTGAAGTCACCTAATCCCTTAAGTCACAAATTTGAATTAATTTAATGTAGGACCTTGCTGTCCCTTTTGTAACTCAACGGTAAGCGTGAAAACTTGTAACTTTAAAATTCGCCGTTTGATCCATGTGGTGGGCGTGAAAACCCACTATGCAGATTTACACTTTACGACAAATAGAAAATTCTCTTTGATAGATTGTTTAGGCAGAGTATCCATGATGAAACTTTATAGAATAGACGGTAACTGCCTGTCGTAGAGACATTTCTCACAAACTGCATTAGATTTATCAGTGTAATGTTTGAAAGATGTTTTAATGACGGAAAAAGTTTATTTCAGGAATATACCTTTTGCCCGGTACTGCAAGAAGAAAAAAATTCAGTATATTGTACAATCGTCATATTGTTTGTTGGAATACGATGATGTAAAAACGTTACTACGTTCGAGCTAGCGGTAATTCATAGATGCAATACTTTTGTAATAAGGTTGTTAATACAGGCGGAAAGAGAACAGGTTACACGGTTGTTAAGTTCGTGCGGCGTTTGCTGTAAGTGGGTTTTAGTGTTGGCTAAGAATTAACAATAACGACAAAAACAACTCAATATTTGTCAGGTTTAGTTTTAGTGTCAGCTGAGATTTAACAATAACGACAAAAACAACTCAACATTTGTCAGGTTAGGTTTTAGTGTTAGCTGAGATTTAACAGTAATGACAAAAACAACTCAATAATTGCCAGGTTAGGTTTTAGTGTTAGCTGAGATTTAACAATAACGACAAAAATAACTCAATATTTGTCAGGTTTAGTTTTAGTGTTAGCTGAGATTTAACAATAACGACAAAAACAAAAACTCAATAATTGTCAGGTTAGGTTTAATGTCAGCTGAGATTTAACAAAAACGACAAAATCAACTCAATATTTGTCAGGTTAGGTTTTAATTCAGCTGAGATTTAACAATAACGACAAAGACAACTCAATAGTTGTCAGGTTTGATTTTAATGTCAGTTGAGATTTTACAATAACGAAAAAAATAAAAACTCAATAATTGTCAGGTTTGGTTTTAATGTCAGCTGAGAATTAATTAGGTAATTTTGACTGTATTATATAATTATTTAATTTCTGTAGTGCATATTGGTGTATACAAGACATTTTAATACTAGAAATAAACGACCTTATAATACCAAATTGTTGTTTTTTCTTTAATTGAATAATCGACGTTTCACCTTACAGCTTCTTCAAGAGCGTTCTACTAAAACACAAACCGTAACTGACAGCACAAAGCTTCAAATCAGCTTCAATATACAAGACAAATTAATAAAAGTAATATTTAGATAGACTTCGTTGCTACTTGTGGCGTTGTGCCAGTGGACGTAGATGTATTACGTTCTTGACCCCTAAATGAAGAACTATTAACGGTCAGTCTCCCCACGTTCTTAATGGATCTCTCCCACCGGCGTGTCCGTATCACTCGAGCGCAGCGTCTGTGACTGACTATATGTGTATGTGTATGTCTCACATTGACGGGTCCAACATGTACCTTCTTTCTAACGAGAAGGGGTCAGGCATTCCTGCCGTGGGATAAACGGTACGTGCGCTGCGCAACTTCGCTATAACCAGAATCTTGTTTTGTGAAAAGAAGAAGATCCTGTAAACTGTCATTCTTAATTTGTGTCGGTATTTGTATGATAAGGTAAAGAAGTAATCATAACTGATTGTATTTTATTCATTAGTTTACTAATAATGTACGTAAGTTGAGTTGAAAGCGTTTGGTTGGCCCTAGATATTAGGCCTAACGGGATCTTAAGGTACTCAGTACTACGGTAAATGTTACCGGTAAGTTATGGTACCCGTGTTCATTGGATTCTTTTGGTAGCACACGTGACTGATTCTTGGAAGAACACAGTTTTTAGTGCTCAGGAAAAGTTAATGTGTTACGTATCTACAAACACTACTGTCTATATCTTATAAAACATAACCAATCGTACCGTAAGGATTAAGCACGTGCCGTGTGTTTACCCATTGCTTAATGACTTTCTCTTTATGTAAGTTTTTTGTAGTTCTTTTTATGATGAGAGACAAACTCTTCTTCATTATTTTTCCAGTAAGCAGAAAAATGAGTAAAACCTGCATTATTTTCAGTTTTTATAACCATTTGATGAATATCTATACTCATAAATGAAATCATGATTTTCTTGTACTTTTGTATTTGAAAATATGTGATAAAATCAACATTTATGTATGTTGCATCCTTTGTCCCTTTTTTTTTAAATTGGGTAACATTTCAGTTCAGCAAGTTTATATCTAGATTTAATTACCCATTAGACATATGTAGTTAAAGTAATCAATGACCTGTCTTCCAAAATATTAGTTCCTTATATTGTTATAAAACTTTTGTGCTTATTTTAGAAAGTTAACTTATTCTCATTGCAAACTTTTTTCTATATACAAGTTTATGTAAAAAAATTATATTGTATATTATAGTTCTGAAGTGAAATTCACAGGAATGGATAATAAGATCACATATGGCTTAAGCCCCCCCCCCCACCTCTCCATGAAATTAACCATCCTGACTAAAATCCCTATCCAATTGGTCTGTGGAAATGAGCAACTTATATTTCAGTTTAGGTTATTGTTGCCTTTGTTCTTCATACAGTTATCTCCACACCCTATTGTTGTTGTGGTTCATGTTGTTATCATGGGATCTTTTAAGTTGTCAGGGTCATTTAGAGGGAATATTTTTGTATATGCTGAAACCTTTTGAAAATCTGATTCTTTTTCAAAAAATACAGGTTGGACCATTCACGTAATGTTTTTATTTTTATTTATGGGAGAGGTAGTAAGTAATAAGAACTTCTTGAAACTGTTCTAGAGTTATATAAATACCTAATAAAGTATAACAGTGTTGAAGTAATGTTAATGTTAGGAATTAGGATTAGATCTAAGCTACAGGATTCCCAAACAAATGGTAGAAATTGGAGTGAAATCTAGACTTGACTGGTTATGTATGTCACAACTGTAGCTTGCCTTTTAATTTTGATCACGGTCAGCATCAGGGCATGGGTTATCACCGACGCTTACGAGATATACTGAAAATAAATTAAAATTAGATCTTTAACATAAGTCAATGTAAACTTATAGTATGTACATTTACACAAAAAAACATCAGACTGATAAATAATTTGAAAAAAGCTAGCACCTTCATATAGTTAAATAGTTACTGCAAATATAGCATTTTGGTACATGAAATTTATATTTTATGAGAAAACCATTGCATTTAGTTAATGTACAAGCATATCTCCAAAAGTAAAGGTGTGATAAATTGTTGAATTTCTGGATATTATTTTGTTCACATAATAAATGGTTATAGCTACTCAATAATGAAAAAAAAATGAAATAATGGTAAAAGGACAAATATGAAGCTTGCCAGCATTAGGTAAGGAATAGTACTGTAGCAAATATTCAGAAACATGGTTAGTGTTTTGAAATTAACATAGATAAAGAAGCTTAAGTGTTTTTAATCATTATAAATTTACTAATAAAAGTAAACAAACCTAAATTTACTAAGCATAAACTTTTTGCTTTTGATTAGTTGTTTGCTTAAACAGGAAGTGTAGATGATATGTAACCTCTGAGTGTATAATGTGAAAGTGTTACTCAGCAGAGGTTCGTTGTAAAGATGAAGGTATTTTTATAGTTTAGATTTATAGGGGACACATAATTTTACATAAAACAACTTATGTTAGTTTCCTGTGCTATATATAATCCCATGTTTACCAAACTTATGTAGAATAAACACGTTTTGTGTTATAAAAAATGAAGACTGTGTTAGTTTTGATATTGAAAGTTGAATTTTGTTTTAGTTACTCATTTTTGTAATGAATATAACTCGAGTTAACTTTTGATTGTGATGTTTATTGAAATTGACATGCATGATTAAATTTGAACTTGTCATTTTTCTTTTTTATAATTTTAATCTTAAAGTTATGCTCATGCCAAGAACAGCATACTTTTAATATACACTTAGTATCTAGTTTAATGAGTAATTATTTTTTCTGAGAATTGCTGATCTTAAACGTTCATGTTTCTAACTTTTTAAATCCCTTTTTTGTCACCAGCTATTTTACAGAATGAGATGTAAATGAAACACTTTTTTTTAACCAAATGTGTAAAAGCATATTTTTTCAGTCGAAAAATTTGTGATATTTGCATTGGCAAAACATTATATAAAATAACTAGTTATGAAGTACACTGATGTTTGAGTGTATAAATATGACCTCTGTTATCAACAATCATATGTACCACTTATAATTTTGTACAATTATTTTAGATCACTAGATGGCCGACTACAGGTATCGCACCGTAAAGGACTGCCTCATGTGATCTACTGTCGATTGTGGCGCTGGTCAGATCTCCAGAGTCACCATGAACTCCAGGCTGTTGAGAATTGTGAATATGCTTTCAATTTGAAGAGGGACGAAGTGTGTGTTAATCCGTATCATTACCAGCGCATTGAAAGTCCAGGTATTAATTTATTAGTGTTTATATTTTTTTGATATTTATTATGTAAGTGTGTTTGTAGATTTATAATACACATGAAAATTGTAGTATAATCATAATTACCATTCATATTTTGCTGATTTTACTTGCTACAACCATCCTGTATCACATTTAAAAAAAATGTAGATAGACAACATATATTGTTAGATTTTTACTATAATTAATGGTCATTTGAAAAGTATTCATCCAGCGTACCAATTGATCCAAAACGTTCTGTAATACTTCAAATTTTCAGTCAGTATAGAAACTCCAAAGATGCTTAATGTTATCAGCAAGCTTTATTAATTATATTCTTATCAAAATTATTAATATAAATAACAAAAAGCAAATGCCCAAGCACTGACCCTTCAGGCACTCCATTGGTAACAAGGGTCTAATTAGACTGGATTTTATTAACCCTTTCACGGCAGGCTCTTGCAATTAATGGAAATCAAGTTGTAAATTTTACTGGTACAACAATATATACAGTAACTATGAGATTTCATAATATATCTTATCAAAAACTGGTAAGATTTTGTTAAAGATCATAAGTATCTTGTACACAAAGAATAATGTTATTTTATTATAATTAAGTATTTTTACTAAAATGTTATTTTTCTGTTGTAGTTACTATCACTCAAACTATTAACAAGTTGAGTGCAAGGTTATTTTCATCTTAAGTATAAAAGTACTTTTTCTTTGTTTTCATATTTCATTTGCGTAATCTGTAGAACCTCCTAAAACTCCGTTTTCTCTACCATATCTCTAGCTATATCATCAATGTACGATGCAATGAAATAATTAAAATTAGGAAATAGACAAAAAACACATACCTTTAAATTTTTTGTAGAATATCTTTAAAGATGTTTCTTTTGTTAAATTCATAATTTCAGGTCTTTTTCTTTTTACATATAGTTAATTTTTAATGTTATATTTTTCTTTCTTGTCCTTTGCCACTTATTATTCATCTTAACACAAGTCAGTGGTGCCCTTGAGGCATATTACAGTTTCTATGGAAGACATGCGCAACCCTTTGGCAAAATTTCTGTTCAGTGAGTAATATCGTAAGCCTTGAGAGAAAGTATGATGTATGTTTAAAAAATGTTTAAACCCTTTAATTGTGCATTTTAATACATAATTAACTAAAATATAATAGTAGGACCTATATACAATTTAACTGTATCTTTAACTATAACATATTTAGGTAAAAACAATCGTAAGTGCTATAGTTGATCAAGCAGCCAACAGTACTACAGTCAGTTACATG